TCACTGCCAGAGGGTTATGGACCTATCCTAGGTGCATAGGGATGGCATGGACATTAATTCTTCAGCTCCAGCTTCTGTCTACCATTTGTGGCTGTATTTTCAGGAAATTGCTGAATATAATGGCTTTAGTGTGATTCTGGATACTAGTGGTACAAGGGGATATGAAGATGGCAATGCTACATAATTTCGGTACTCCCAGACTTTGTGAGAGGACTGGCTTTTCTTTCCAGGGCAGATTACATGTTGTGCAATGGTACTAACTGTGCTTTGTTCATCATGTGAAAAAGTGGCAGAATCTGGTCATTTCCAGTTTTGAGCCTTAACCTGAAGCACGTAAAACTGGCTAAAGAAATGAATGTTCACCTTTGATAACCCTTTACTACCGTTTCCTTCTCAAAAAAAAAAAACCCCTAAACCAAAACCCAAAGGAAGCAACCATGCAGCTGTTTCAGTAAGGGATGTTTCTTTTGCATATGCCCTACAGAGGTTCAGGAAATAACCGGAATTTCAGGCGCAATAAGAATGAAGGATTGGGCTTGGCATAATTCTCTGAATTCACTAATAAATATGTACAGAAGAGCTTTGTCCCTTCAAAGGGTCATGAGACATTAGCTGGTTTGACTTCTTATTTAGGACAAGTAAGCAGTTTAGTTTCGCAGGGGATTATTATAGCTAAATTACAGCCTTGTATGCTCTCCTTGAGTCAAGAAGGACACTTTCATGAGCAGCTTTTTCTTACAGCTGTGGTCAATCTTGATGTGCGAAGGACACAGCTTCCTACTTGTTTCCAGTTAATTTCAGAATTATTTTCCTTCAGATGTCTCTGAAAACAAACAAAACATAATGACAGGGTGAAACAGGAAATTTTATATTTGGATTTAAAAATTGCACAGGGAGCACAGGTGAATGAGCTCTTGAGACAAATTAATGGCTGTGAGCTGGGGCTTATCTGTACCATGAAATGGTTTGTCAGTACAATTACACAGCAATCCAAAGACTACAACAAAAATAAAGCTAATATATGGCTCCAACACAGCTATGCCAGCAACTTTGCTTAAGTATGTGAAAATCTTACCAGTAAATTTTTCTTTTACTGGTATAGCTGGTGCAGTTTAGGGAAATATTTAACCTTCACAGGATGAAAGAGCTCATTTAGTCAGTATCCATAAAAAAGCTTTCCTAGTGTATCTCCACTGTGATTACGTGGTGTCCCCTGTGTCATATTCTGGTCTGGCAGACATAGTAGAAGAGATACCTTCCTCTTGGGGACAGGCGTTCCTAAGGATGTGCCCTGTGACTGATGCAACAGAGCTGCAGGCCTGGAGGGAAGTTAATTAATAATTTAATTAATATTTAACGGCAGTATGCCAGTGTGCCAGATTTCACCAGTAGGCTGTGTTCCCAGCTCTGCCAACTATAAAAACATGCTTGAATATGCCCTGTGGGGGGAATGGTAGGGCTTGTTTGAGAAGGAAGAACGTCTAGAACATCTAGATAATCATGGTAGTCTTCCCTGCCCTAAGGCTCTCTGAACCTTCAGCTGCTTTGAGACAGATCCTTTGAAGTCCTGCCTGAGTCAAAGCTAAGACTTGCAGCTCTTAGAGCAACACACTACTTATTTGCCCCCTCTTGACTCTTTCTTCTCTCTGTAATCGCTATTGATTGCAACCTGGAAAAAAGCTTCACTGCTCATATTAGAGAAAAATGAAAACAGCAGGCAGCTGAAAATTTATCTTGCCATGAAAATTAGCAAGGTAGATGATGCCCACAAATCTGCATTGAAAGTTACTTAGGAAGGGGACTTTCGAAACTGCCGAGAACACACAACTACAGTCATGGATTTGGGTTCCTCACTCCAGTATATCCAAGGTTACGAAACCTGCAAAGTCTGCCTCAACCACAGAAAAACCCAGAGGCTTTTCTATGAAAGAAACAGCTCGCTCAGAGGGTCAGTGGTATGACAGCTCCAGAGAAATGTCCTAGAACAACAGTAAAAAAGGATTAATCAAGATGCACTGGGGTCAGAAAGGGTGATTTTCATTTGTAGCACTGTCTTTAGATTTCAAATATGAGGTAACCTGCATCTCAGCACAACTGAGGTAAAAAATAAAGAAAAAAATTGCACCTTAATCTGTTTCATACAATTAGTTTTAAAAAATTGGTACAAATTGAAAATAAAGAAAACTATTTTTTCAAACAAAACTGTTGAGTTCATGAGAACAGGAAAACTGTTGAGTTCATGAGAACAGGAAAACACAGCTATGTAGCTTTTTCATTCCTTACTGCATTTCCCTTTCTTTTCTACTTTTCCTTTTTTTTTTGTGCCCTATTTAATAAGCACAGGAGCTTAGTTAACTGAGACCATTCCTTTTCTGGAACTTGTGTGCAGTTCAAGTCCAGAAAGCAACCTCCTGAAACAGCCTGGCACCAGCACTCATTTTCAGCTCTCCAGGTGTCTGGACCACAAGGTTTCTGCCCTTTTCCAGCCTTGCAGCTAGCAGCACTGGAGACAGACTCTGCCTTTTGCTGGTTTTGCTGCTGAATTTTTTTGTGGTTGTTGCTGTTCCTGTTCCTGCATGCCTCCATCCCATTTTTGGTGTCAGGGACATAGGAGGAGACATTACAGCAGCACCAGAGTTATTCCAATTCAATGGCTGCAATGGACTTTCAATCTTCCCATTTTCTCACACCAGAAAAGCCACAGTTGATATTTGTAAAACCGTCCAAAAGATTGTCAAACTGAGCGCTTTCCTCCTTAAAAAAGAAGAAACAACTCATGGCATTAAGAAGAGAAACTTGTCATGCTGAAAAGAAAGCCACACATTTTAAATGCTTCAGAGTGGTGTGGTTTTTGTTTTTTTTTTTTTTTTTTTTTTTTTTTTTTTTTTTTTTACTTTCTTTTGAATATTTTATGAAAGGTTAAAATATGTTAATGATGGTTGTTGCTATAGCAAACTCAGGCATCTGTAGTGAAGTCTCTTTCTTAATTGTTTGTTGTTCTGGAGTGATGAGGTCATGTTAACATCATTGACCCTCTGGGCACATTTGTTCTATCAAAATTAACATAGCAATGACCTGAGACAACTCTCTGTTCTTTTTCTCTCCTGCTTAGGATGAGGACTAACATTTTACCAGGGCATGCTTCAGCCCTGATCATGGAAAGATTTTGAGAGGGTCAGTGGTGAAACACTGCAAATACTATATACTGATTTTTTTTAATGTAGACCTAACTGCTGAGTCTTACTTCTGTATTTCATCAAAACTATTTTTCCTCCCAACAATTCTATTTAAAATTATTTTAGATCAAATTACTTAATTTTGATAAATCATATATACCAAATAACTAAAAGTAGATATTAATAAATGGCATACATGTCCTGAGGAAAGGAGGTACCATAGGTAGGAAATGGTTAACTGATGAATTCTTCAAGAACTATTATGATTAGATATTAGGTATTTGACACTTTTTATAGAAAGAGACAACATATTTTGGTGCATTATTATCCTGTATGTAAGCCTAAATCAGCCAGTTTGGTTATTTTATCTGTCTACATATTTTTTAAGAATTTTGCTTGTATTAAAGATTAATTACATATGCCCTCGTCAAATCCTTATTTCCCAAAATGCTCACAAGTGCAAGTGTGGAATCTTGATAGAAACTTATTATGCTAGAAAAAAACCATAGCACAGATTTCTAATGGCTGGGGGAGAGCAGCAGGCTGGAGAAGCCACATGCTCCTTGGCTGCCTAATGATTTCAGAGAGAGGTTATATCTGTCAGCCATTAAGGACAAAATTTTTTTGGGATTGCTTTATAAACCAAAGATTATCGAAAGAGAGTGATCTCCCTCAAGGCAGCAAAGGTCCTTTTCTTTCATGTTTTGCTAGTAACCTCAAAGAGGACAATTAATAAAGGGAAACCTTGCTTTCATTAACAGGGAATTTAAAGGGCAGGTGGATAAAGACTTTGAAGAGCTGATGCCACAACAGTAAGTGGTATAAACAGATGTGAATCCTCTAGGCTGGTGCTGCTTCTTGAAAGTATGCTTTCCCCTTAATGCCTATGGTCAGAAGGGATATTTTAGTCAGAAGAGAACTTAATTCTCTTTTTCTCAACTTCTTTACATGATAGAACCTCAATAGCACACGGACTGAGGAAGAAATGTGTTATGTGAAACGTCCTACTAAGTTCCATTTTTAGTCTTTTCTGTACCTTTGGAGTCTCTCCGTCTGTGAGTAGAGGGAGACATGGCCACACACTGCCCTGGATATTCTGAGGGTGTTGAGCACTGCAGAAAAAACCCACCTTACTTCATATGCACTATGTTGCTTAATTTAAACACAGTATGAATGTTGCACATAATTTAAAAATAAATACACAGTACATTTTGAAATTAAATGCTTCATATTAAATCTCTGAAACACAATATTTCAAGTTTTTCCTGAGTTTTCAAGGGTTTCTTGCAAAAGAAGCAATTCAGCCAAACCAACTGAAATTCATAGAAGGTTCAACTATGAGTGAAAAGAACTGTGACCACAGTTTCACTCATATTTAGAAAAATTCTCATCTGTGTTTAGCTGGAAATGACACCTAGAGATTTTTAGAAATAAAGGCCCTCGTCACTGGCACTTAAACTCACTGCAGACTGCCAGAGCAGAACCTTGCAGATTTAATGAATCTCAGATAATGCCTGAAAGCTATTAAAGCATCAAAACAGTCATGGACAACAAGGCATCCACTTCCAGAAAGAGGGAAAGGGCTGCTTTCAGAGCACTATAATGTCAGAGCAAATTGGCACAAAACAAAGGTGACATGGCTGAGAGGTCACAGGTGACAGCTCAGAGGAGCCTTTTCTGCCTTACTCACAGGACATTGCAGCAACAGCAGAAGTTCCCAGGGGAAAACCTCTCTTGTTTTGGGAAGTGAAGGTTACCAGCCAGGTTACTGAAAAATCACTCTGCCTACACTTGTTTGCATCCACAAGTGGTCCCAGCTTACACTCACCTTCTTCCTTTGGAGAGTGTATGGTCATTCCTAATGCTGGTGCCATGAAATACTTTTCTTATGTTTTCAATTATGTCTTCATCAATATAGCTGTAGTCATGCTCTTCTTCCTCTTCCTCTTCTGCCTCATAGTTTCTTGCTAGGCCTGAAAAATCAGCAAAAAATAACTCTAAGGAAATGGAAGACTCTGCCCTTGGCCTGGAGAAGAAAAATTGTATAAATCAAAAAGACAACCATAAAAGCAAAGAAAACAATGTTCTCTTCATTTTCATATTTTTCAGAGATCCTAAATGATTTGCTCAACTTCATGAACAGTATCTGTAACAGAACAAGAATGAAAATGAGGTGAGCACTTTACAAGTGTCTTCACTCAAAAATTCCTATTTCAGTTTTTGCAGAAGCTTGTACCTCTAAGTTGACCATTCCCTGCTATCTATCCATAAATAACTTTAAAGTTTATTGAGAAGTTTAGCTGGTGTAATCACTAACAGCATAAAAACAGGCAGATAAAATTATCTCACCATTTTCTTCAAGAGAAGAGCAGTCTACCTGCCATGAGTTGCTTGTACCATCCTTACCACAGATGCGCTCCCATGCTTTTGTGTTTCATTGCCTGACAAGAAGAGCCCTGCAGCTAGGGAACCACAGTGATACCTTGGGGTTTCCTAGAGCCAGAACTCCCCTGTTGCTTCTTATTTAGAAGTTGATATAACAGAGACACGGAGTTGAGAATGGCATGAGTTTAAAATGACAGGTTTTGAAGTGCATTTCTGTATGTCCACCTAGACTGGCCTGAAAACCTTTCAGAAAACAGCAACGTTTTTCCACAAAAGCAGAGATCCTCTTAGTGGCTCCAGCACTGTGGCAGGCTCTACTCTGCATCTGGGTACTGTAACAACTTTACTTGACAGGTCACAGTTCTGGATGCTGCCAGGAAGCCCCAGGGTCTCATCCTGTGCTTGAGAGGTCCACCACTCCCCTGAGGCTAGAGGAGGCTCTTCAGGACATGTGGGACCACTGAACTCATAGAACTAAACTCCATAAGGATCAGTCCATGAGTGCCCCATTTCACCCCTCAGAGCCACCCCATCCCTTACACCAGCCTGTGGTGGCAACAGGACCAACTAGAGCTGAGATGATGCTGATATCATCACAGATCCCCTGCAAGACAAATCATCCTTAGAGTTTCTCAAGAAGTCTGATAGGGCATGGAGCTGAGAGGATACTGTATTCTTAAAGCCAAAATATTCACTTGAAGTCGCAAACCAGTGTGCAACACTGTTGTGGGTACAGCTGTTCCTGGCTGATTAATTTTCTAGGGCACAACCTGAAAGAACTTACCATAGTGTACTATCTGACCTCCCAGCAAGCCATGTTTGTCAAACAGGTTCTTCTTTATGAAACCAAACTTCTCAATTAAGAATCCTCCCAGTCTTACACTTGCAACGACTGTGTGTCCCTTCAACAGGAGAATAACTCTATAATTTGCCAGCAGTCTCCAAATCCCACTTGTGTTCCTCCTGAGACTCTCCATGACTGAGAGAGTCAGTCAGTCTGACTGAGACTGAAAACTGGGTAATAGTAGTTTCTTTCTGAAGGTGTGATCCTTTCCTTTATAGGTTTTCAAAGGCTGGAAATAAATACGAGGTTAATCAAGTATCTGTCTGGCTATACCTGTGCAGAGTTTATCACGGACCTATATAGCATGAGTCCCCCACTGCTGAACTAGCAAAGTATTTCCAGATCTGGGCATCAAAAGGAAAAAGAATCCCAAAGCAAAACCCCAAACATATGATTAGAAATGCATGGAATACCTCACATGTGGCCACTTGTTAATAAACATTTCCTGGTTTGTAGTTCATTTGCAATTTGGCTGTGCTTGATATCAGTAAAAGCAAACTAATGAATAAAACAGGCACTGAAATAATAAGTTAATCCCTCTGATTCAGCGAGGGAAATGTTGTTTGTGCACTTAGACTTGCTAATACGGATATAAGGTACAGATTGCTCATGGATGGCATAGCCAGGCTTTCTTCTTTCCCAAACACATGTGAACAAATTGATACACTCCTAAGCAAGAGAGCTCAAGGAAAAAGAACGTTGATGTCATCAGGCCAGACTAAATCACAGCTGCCCACAGTCCCAAACCTGTTCAGAGTTCCTTTTGAAATGTATATATTTACACTTCAATAAAGCATTAAGCAATTAATGAGACAAGCTGAACAGTCCAAGGGGGATTCTGAACACTGAAATCAATGCAATTTTCTTCCCTGTTTGAAAAATAAAAATTTATTAGCCTCAACACTGAATTACTGAATCAGATAGGCCATCTCAGTCTGCCGAGAAAACAAGGCTTATGTCATCGTGCTGTCCATCCATCCATCAATTTCCTCAGTACTTTTACAAGTTTATTTCTGCCAATTTCAGTCAGATTTGAAAAGGGGACAGAAGTCTCACAGTGGTTACTAAAGCTAGAGTTGAATTGGTTCCTCTATTAAAAGAGAAGCGTGCAGAACACAGCTGTTATCCACTGCATTTGGCAGCAGACAGCAGGATAAATCAGTCTGTGCATATTGGTTGGCCACTCAACACACACATAGCTCCAGACCTGCTCTTTTTCTTTTGATAGGAACACTGCAAGGAGAGTTTTGGTTATTGTCAGGAAAGACAGAGATGAGCAGTAGGGGACAACAGTCCTGAATACTTATTAAATAAAATTTCATTAATTCTGCTCTTCCTGGAACAATTTGTATAATTATATTTGCCTTTATAGTGGAAGGCTAGTGCTCTGCAGACTAAAAATTTCCATTAATTTCACTTGTATCTTTGAGTGAGGAGGATGTATTGTTTTTTTCTCGGAATATGCTTGCAGTTTTTCACAAATTTCAAGGTCAGAAATACTTGTCATAAGTCTCCATTTTGCCCTTCTTCAAAAAGTAGGCGACAGAAGTGACCCAACTCATCAAGACCCTTGGTTGAAAGAAACAAGAGTTAGAGACCCCAACTCATGTACTTGTACAACTCTGCACGCCTGAATGCCTCTAGCTGTGTGACCATAACATAGTTTTATAGCTCTGGTAAATATTTCAGATCAGTTTTAACTCTGCATAAATTAACACCCAATCACACAGTGTTTATTGTTTATTTATGCCTAACTTGAAAAAAAACAGTTGTGAAATATTCTACATAATAATGTTATGAACTCAACATGGTAGAACCACATCCTTATTTCTGAACATCACTTAAGTGAAACTGCACAGAACGAAAGGTATATGCATAAACCAAGCATTTTTATGAGCAGCAGCATTTTATTTGCTGTGAGCCTGGTTCTGATGCTCCTCAGTGCTAATGAGAACTAATTCCTTAGGGAGTGCTGCTGAAAACCGATCAGTGATAGAAGAATCAGAGCCCATAAAACTAATGGACTGTTCCTTGAGCTGATATCCATCAACCATTACTTCATGTGATGATGTAGCATATCTTTAAAAACTGTTATATGCCACAATCAAAATATTTCACATAAACTGTAGGGTTGCATTTAATGTATGGGTAATATTTATCTTCCTCTGGAATCTCCTAAACTAATGTTTGGAAAAGATTAGTCTGAATTTCTTTAAAAGACTCTTAAATTTCCTGAAATAGAAAACTGTTGACACTTTTCACTGTCCTTTTACTTTAAAATGTTTTTCTTTGTCAGTTTTTTTTCTGGTCTGTTTTGCTGGTTTTACTGAACTTTTTGAGATCTAGTTTCCACTGTTTCACTACTGCCTCATATAAAATAAATCCCCAGTGTAACAACAGCTCTTGCAGATGAGAAATGGTTGCCAGAAGTTTTAAACAGTCTCATATTTCTTGTCTCATCATAAGTTCCTGCAAGAGGATGCAGAGTGGGGCTCAGGGCACCATCGGAGATGTTCAAGTGCTGCTCTGCACAGGACTGGGGGAGCAGAGCCAGCAGCACTGCCAGAGAGTGACATGAAGATGAAGTACCCTTTGGTTTAACTACATATAACGCTGTCATACCTCCTCCTTGGAACCACCTAAACTCCTGCCTGAAATCTCTGAATATTATCACAATTAAATAAGTCATATCTAATAAACCAGTGAAATTAGAAGGATTCAGAGCCTGTGCTTTCTTCTTCCTGATGTAAAACAAGTTAGAGTTTGGTTGAGAGTAAAGCTGATTGAACATATTTAAATATCATTTACTAAAGTGTAGTCACATCCTATAAAATTGTATGATCTCCATATTTTCAGTAATTTTCTTGCCTTTTATTAAACTTACCTCAGAAGAAGTGTCAGCTAAGGATAAATTTTGTATTTACAGATGAAAATTACAAGACCATGGGAGCCAAAGAATCTAATATCAATTTTTCCCTATTCAAAGGCCAAGCTGAGTGGGGAAGCTGGAGGGAGTTGTCACACACACATACAGGAAAGAATTCCTAATTCATATTGCTTATTCCCTTGTACCTAGTTTAGAACACTAATACAAAATCCCTGTGATGTCATCAAAAAAAGAGCAGCTTTTATTTTTTTTTTTTTCAAAATAATTCAGAATTCTACATTTTGCTTTAAATTTTTGGGGTTTTTACTTTTAGTTCATTTTAATATTTGTTTTAGAGCACAGTGCCATAGTCAAATGCATTGTCTTAACTAAAGGGACAGCAAGTTACAGGAGCAGAAATTTCTTAAACCACCTTTGAAAATTTAGTAGACATGTGTGCATCCTAAAACACAAATGGAAGTCACAATCCTCTTTTTCTTTCCCCAGCCCACTAGCCTCCTAAATCAAGCACCTAAAGACAGAATATATAAATACTTTCTCTAAAATATCCTGACATCAATGAACAAAATCAACATAAACACTGTTTTGTTGCAGACTGCAACTATTCCAGAAACCTATGCCAGGAACAAGAAGATTATGTAATGTTATAGGAACTCCACTTGGAATAAATTTGAAACATAAAGAAAAACTAATACAGCAGATTTCTGATGAGAGTTATTATCCTGCAGATATTGCTACCATTTTTAATTAATTCAAACTCAGTCAAATATAAGAAAATAAGATAATATCTTTAGTGGCCTATTCAGGTTTAATTGCAACAGAGGAAGAAGGTTCTATTTCTTAGAATCAAGGATAATAAATCCTATCTTTATTCACATGAACTCTGTAAAGAAAGAGAGTAGAGGCTTTAAAATGGAGGAAAAACATGTTTTTCTTTTTGGAACTATCTGGCCTTTGGTAAGAAATAGAAGTTGTTTCTGTAACTAGGGGGGATTTTGAGAGTACAGATTCAACATCCTTATTAGGAATTTGAAACAGGTTGGTGTTTTGGAGGGTGGCTTAACATTCATCAGTAGAAGTTTAAAGATTAGTCAGTGAATGGTGCATTTCCTCCCACTCAAAACCTACAGGAGTGTGTCTGTGTTATTAGTCTTGACATATTTTCTAATCCATTATCTCTTGAATTAGCAGAGCAGAGTACACCCTCTGGAACAGACAAGCTTGCTGCACGCAGCATTGGACTCATGGGGATGCCTTGGCTGGTCAGGAAGAACTGTTCCATAATCTAACCCGCCCTCCTGTATAATTCTGCAATTATCTTTTAATCAAGCCAAATAATTTCGGACTATACTAACATAGAATTTTCAGAAAAAACTTTAGCTTTGATTTGGGTATGTCAGCATACAATCTGTCACTGTTCTTTGGACTGGGTTACATCTGCCTAGCTCAAACTCACACTATATTCTAATTTGGACAGGGTAGGTAAAGGCATAAAGGGATATACTCCAAGGAAATTAAATAAGAAGCAATTTCCTAGTCTTGCAAAAGAAGTATCGTTATGATACTACTTAACGATTTTCAGTGTGTGTACTAAGAGAGGTACTAGGAGTTTGCTTGAAATCCTCAGTAACAAAAGCTATCCTTTATCTGGTGTTCTGTGGACAGCCTAAGCCCAAAGAGTGAATAAGATGAACTTCAAATGAACTAATTGCAATTTTCATGGGAAATGAAGCAGAAGACCTGTGACTGATGGGCTTTTGAATCAGATACATGGCTAAGAACTCAGATGCATGGGAAGAGTTAGTGCTGTAAATGTTTGCAGTACCAGAGTCATGCAAACCTTCAGCAGTCCTAACACTTTTTTCTTTTAACTCTTGGTCATACACCCAAATCTACCTGCAAAGCTCAGGTCTCCAGCCATAAACTCGTGGAAATATATCAGAAAAAATAAGCTTGACTGACAGCTAAAGTTTAAAAAAATATGTCTGCTAGAAGCAGGAGGAGTTAAGTCATCAGTCTGCTATGACTACTGATATATGGGCCTCAACCAGAAGAAAAGTAAACTCTGCTTTCTCAGAAGGGATATCACAGCAAATATTAGGATCTTGATGGAATGAGGGCCAAGGGAAATAGATCAAGAACAATCAAGAAAAGATATTTTCAAACCTGAAAAAGGCCCTAGAAAAAGCATTCTTCTCAATTAGATTTTTCAGAATAAAAAGCAAATGAAGAATTGGCTAAGAAAAGCAGACCTGTGCTAGAAACTGAAAAATCACAATAAAAATCAAGTGCTTTTTGAGATAGTTAAAAAGAGTTATCAATGACATATAAATAAGGCTTAATGGGGTGGACAAAAGACTAATGCTATTATCTCTGGATGAATAAAGAGAGAGAAGGTGGACAGATTTCAAGCAGGGCAGATGGGACAGTCAGCAATATTGCATCATTTCACCATGGTACTGAAACATGTTCAGCAAAAGGTCCAAACCTGGAACTGTTGCAAAATGTCCAAGTCTGTTTACTGGTGTCCAGAACCATGAACTGCATGAGCTAACAAGTAGCATGAAGGAAAAAGAAGAAATCTTGCTGGTTCCATGGGTATCAGAGGCAGGTCTCTGCCTGAAGAGCCCCCTGAGAGTTTCTGGGTCAGGATTTAATGGAGAGACCAATATGAGTGATGCTATGGGTGCCTGCTACAGACACAGTGATTCATTAACAGAGCAGTCAATGGGAACGAGCTTTCCTCAGCAGGTTTGCAATGGGAGGAGCAGCTGAGATGGTTGTCCTGCCATCCAAAGGGACCTGAACAGGTTGGAGAACTGGGCAGAGAGGACTTTCATGAAGTTGAGTGAAGGAAAATGCAAGGCCTGGGGAGGAATGACTGGAAAACAGCTTTTCCAAGGAAAACATTGGAGTCCTCAAGATAAGCTGACCATGCACCAGCAATGTATCCTTGTGGCAAAGTGGTCCAACACCTTCTGGGCTGCATTAGGCAAAGTGGTGCCAGCAGAGATCCTTTTCCCCTTGATCAACACTGGTGAAAACATACCTAGAGTGTTGGGTCCAGATCTGGGCTCCCAATACAAGAGGGACATGGATGTTCTGGAGCAAGTCCAGCAGAGGGTCATGAAGGTGATCTAGTGCCTGAAGCACCTGAAATAGAAGGGGAGGCTGAGAGGGCTGAGGCTGTTCAGCCTGGTGAAGAGAAGGCTCAGGCATGATCTTATCATTGGGCATCAGTACCTGAATAGGAAGAAGATGGAGGCAGACACTTCTTAGTGGTGCCCAGTTACAAAAGAAACACAAGCAGAAACAAATATCTTCACAGTAGAAAAATGGAAAGACCGAGTGACCTCCCAGTCCTGTTATTGAGCTGAAGCTTTAGTAACAATGGCTCCATACTGCTTTTCTCAGCCAATGGAGCTCAGCTTAGAAACTGCTGTACAGTTCCTGTAACAGGCACAGGAACTGACTCTATGACTTCACTTTTGCACAAACTGAGAAGCTGCATTCAGAAAAATATTCGAAAACTTTTCACCATAAAAGCACTTTGAGACTTCAGCCTGTGTCACGTTTCTTGTCTGTGAGGAGTCTAGGCCAATAAAGTTAAGCAGCTACTCAAGCACTGACTTTTGTGCTTGTGAATAAGCCAGTCCTCAGCATAAGTTTTACATCTGTCTTCTTCCTCAAAGAGGCATTGGTCACATTTACTTCAGATGTATTCCCTCTGCTTCCCATGTCTGCCTCACCCCCCAGAGACTAACCCAGGCAAGTGATCCAATTAATCCCTGTAGCATGGACAATGGTTTTCAAAGTCAAGCCTCAGTGATTTACAGGAAGTGCCCTTAACAAAAAATGAGTACCAGGTTAACCTATGTTGGTATTCCTTCTTTTTTTTTTTTTTTTTTTTTTTTTTGGTGGGATTTAAACTGAGGATACTGTCCTTTGTACCTGCTGACATTTAAACTTCACCATTTACCACTATAAAATCTAATAAAATCATTAAACAGTGAAAAAACAGAGCCTGAAAAGAGATTTTTTCAAAGCCACAAAATAACAAATCTGGAATTTTATTTCAAAGCTGCCAGATACCAAGATATCACGCTGGTTTTGGCTGGGGCAGAATTAATTTTATTCACAATGACTAGTACAGGGTGGTTTTGTGCTGAACACAGGGTTGATAATATGGAGATTTTTTTTTTTTTTTTTTTATGTTGAAGGGCTTTTTTTATGAGCAGGGCTTGCACAGAGCCAAGGGCTTTTCTGCTTCTCATACTGCCACGGCTGGTGAGGGAAGTTGGAGTTTGGAACAGGTGACCCAAACTGACCAAAGGGATAGGAGGAGGAAGGGGGATGTTTGGAATGATCGAGTTTGTCTTCCCAAATCACTGTTACACAAGATGAGGCCCTGCTGTCCTGGAGATGGCTGAACACCTGCCTGCCCATGGGAACCATGAATTAATTCCTTCTTTTTCTTTTGTTTATGTGAGTGGTTTTTGCTTTCCCTGTCGTTATCTCAACCCACAGGTTTTCTGGCTTTTTCCCTTCTAGTTCTCCCCTCCATCTTGCTGGTGGGGGAGTGAACAAGCAGCTGTGTGAGGCTTGGTTGCTGACAGGGGTTAAACCACATCACTTTCAATAGTCAGTCCACAAATAATCAATTTCCACAGCAATAAGGATTAGTGAATATTCAACATGACACTGTAATTCTTCTCCAGAAAAGTGGTTTATGTAGCTTTTAGAAGTTTCAATACACATACTTTCAAATAGACAATTCTTTTAAAGAGTCTAACACAATGAATGACAAGAAAAAAAAGGAGAATTTTTATAAGAAGTTCTTCTATTGACATCAATTATCAGTTAACAAATGCTGTGAGGATGAATATTCGTGCTTTAGTCTTTGAAATGTTCCAGTGTTGTAATAAATGTGATTTTTTCATATTTCAAATATAACCTGTGACCAAGAGATTAATGAAATATTTTTTTAATATTAATTGCAAAGTTGAAATATGTAAAATAAATTTGGATTTGTCCTCTTATGGTCTAGCTTTTCAACTTCAGTATAGTTCATTTCTGAAAAAGGAAAAACTTGAAAATAGAAAAATTAGCCATCTATCAAAATTATGGGAAATACAAACAAATAGAGAAAAATGTTAAAATAATTATCGGTCAAGTAATTTGCTCAGTATTATTTTGTTCTTCAAAATACAAAAATATGAGTTGAAGGCATCTCCATATCTGTAATGTAAATGGCTTTCTCATCTTATAACATTTTGGGATAGGTATTTTTTAAATAACAGATTATGTGTAAGCGTCACTGTAAAGCAAAAGGACAGCACATGTTTTCCAATCGTCTGTTCCTAAAAGCCACTGAATATTCATGCTTCAGTGTCAGACAGAGTTTAATACTATGCTGCTGCTGAGAGCTTGGATGAATTTGCCTTATGGCATTTATGGAGGAAAAACAGAAAACTTCCCTTTTCCTCCCTCTTTGACTAAGCCACAGATTCCAAGTGAAATCACACAAGATACTCCTGTATGACAAATTTTCATTAGGGCTGGGGTTAAGCTTTGTTATATTAATAGCTCAAGCCATAAAGCTTAACTGACCTTTAGTCACAGTGGTTTCCACCAGTGCAGCTTTCCCAGTCATGTCCTTATTGTCACAATGCACCAAATCATTTTGACAGCTAACTTGCAATTCCAAAACAGCAGCATCTCGATCTGAGCATGATTTCTTGGTGGTGTCTACGTAGAAATTCTGAAATTAGATAGAATAGCACATTAACTTTCCATGTAAATTGTTCTTCCAAACTGATGTGACAAGCAAGAGCAATATTCTTTGGGTTATTTCTGTGAGTTTTAACTACAGATTTTTCTGTTTGTCAAAGTCATCAATGACATTTACCACAGAGCTTGTCTTTCAGGCATGTACATCACAAAACAACATGACCAGGAGGCACTCTAGGTGAAGACATTACCTCTAAAACACATCTGCAGTCTTTCTTTTCTTTTTTATTTTTGTCTATATGGTGTCACACAAGAAAAAGGAGAATTATGTACCCCTTTTGGTTGATTCAGATTACTTTCTGATTAACTATTTTTATTGTATCTATTGTAATTTAATGTGTTCTGTTACATATTACATCACAAACTCATATAAAGTCTGACATTTCAATTACATTTACCCAGTAGCCTTCACAGCATAGTATAGTTAGATGATGGGAACATACAATTGCGTTATTAATTATAGTTTTATTACATTGAGAAAAGTAAGTTAGATGGCTGCAATATCTGCATCCCTTGAAATTCAAGCTTCATACACACCTTTCCATAATTATGTTGTTTTATTTTTAATTTTGAGGTATTTATGTCATAAATGCTTTCAGTCAAATACATATTTTTAGCTATGTAAGTAACAGTCAATTAAAAGTGTCAAAAATATATCTTTGGTGAAGCTCTACAGTAGCTGCAGTGTAGGTACAGACCAATTGCAATCATTATACCAGAGTCTATATTTTAGGAAATAATCAGTATGGATTTTCCATTCAAAATCAAATGCAGATTTTTTCCTTAGCAATGACAAAGCCCATCCTATTCAGAGAGATAAGGTCAAGTTGGTAAATCTGACAGTAGCTACACAGTAAGAGGATCTGATCTTTTCAGAATCAACCCACAATTTGCAAAGGCGCAACACAAGCCCACATTTTACAAAAATTTGCCCTTTTTGGAAAAAGATATCAGCTAGCAATGAAAGAAGTCACTGGTAATCAAAATAGAAAATTTGGAAGAGTATATTAAGCAAAACAGGTGAGGATGAAATCTATAAAACATAGGCATGATTTTGCCCAGTGGGTGGGTCACAACACTGCAGAAGTGGAAGACTCCTATTTTTCAAATAGAGGAATCTCTGTTACTTTTCTCCTTTTCTTAAACAAAACTCCACAGGATCTATCTACAGGAGTCAGCTGAGTTACAATATTCAATGCATGTTTGTGCTCTACAGGTTGTACAAGGTTGAGGAGCACTCGCCTTGGTTGCAAAAGAATCTCTGAGGCCCAGCAAAGCTGTAAGCAGTGATGTAATTCACAAAATACTCAGGGCTTTGTGAAAGAGAAATTCAGCTAAGAAATACTTTGCCAAGAGGACAGAAATGTCAGAAGAAATTCTTCACAGCTGAGAGCTTAACTTTCTTTCACCAGGAGGGCATGGCCTTTCTTTCATCTCCTTTTCTTGACCTTCAGCACCTAAACAGGCCTGTATACCCCACCTGTTTGTTGCCAGACTGTCCCAATTATATGAACACTCATTTTATAAGCAGTTATTGAGAAATGTCCACCTTCTGCTTGGGGAAAATAAATGCATAAATAACCATGTTTCAGAGCCGCCACTGAACGAGTCCCATCCTTAGTATCAGTTGTTGGGGTACCATTTGTTGGTTTCTCTGGGTCTGGATTGAAGGCACTCGAGACGACAGTTCATGTTGAGACTGTGAGCTCGGCAGCTTTTCATTAGAAGGCGCAAAATGGCTAACTATCTCTTGTCTTTTAAGACTAAACTATTAAATTAAGAACTGAAACCTAGATTATTTTCCCTTTTACCATGAATGACGGCCAAAGTCAGTGCTCCCCTGGTCGTCAGGACACCTCAGAGCAGGCAGAGAAATATTCCCAGTGCTCTGGGTTTCCACAAGTCATACCTCTTTATCACAAATTAAAGGTCTTGGGAAGGGTAGGGTAACTTATTCATAGGCAGATTATTCCTGTGTTCCAGTTGTTTGGCATGCTTAGCACACAGAAAGTTTTCATTTAATGGTCAGCTTTCAGGGAAGGATGGAGCCTTAATTTAAACTGTAGACATAAAAAAAAAAAAAAAAAAAAGCTGTTTTTTTTTTTTAAAAAAGTGTGAATTCTCTTATTTTCTAGTCAGCTCCTTATTTACCCTATTAATACTAGCAATAAATGTGATGTATGAGTATGTTGAGTTTATTTATTTTGCATTGCCTTAACTAATTAAAAACAGGCCTTGGTATCAAAATAGAAAGATACCCTCATTAAGAAAAATGTACCTGGAATTTGTGCTAATCTTATAATTCATCAGCAAAACCACATGCTGTGAAAAATTGTTACCTGGGGCACCTTGTAAACAAATTAAAATATGCAAAACTCAAACATTTAAAAACAAATAGGATTACAGAAAATGAACTGTCACATCACTTTATGCTGAAATCTGATAGCATTTTAGCATCCTTAATAGCACTATAAAAAGTAATTATACTAGAGACCAACAAAGATAAGTTTCTTTTTTATAACTGTGTAACAGAGAAGTCTTACAGTTGTCTTTCAAATACTTGGCAAACTTAACAGCACAGAATTTCTACCTAGGCAGAGTCATTGTTCCACTAATTTAAAGAAGTCAGGATATCAGCCATGATTTTCAATAGCTACTGCCAGAAAAAAACATTAATTCAATTAAAAACTCATAATCTGAGCTGCAGTCATTTGTTATAAAAGACTACTCATGAGGAAACCCCAAATCTCAGCATTTGGAAAATAAAACCAGCATCTACAGGTGCATAAACTAAAAATTTTACAGAAATGACTAAGAATTTCCCATTACATCCTCAGGTTTTCTTGTGGTCCAGGAACAAAGGAGTCAAAGCACAAATCTGTAAAGGTAAATGAGTCTAAATATGAACAGTCCTTCTCTGGAAACACGAGGTGTTACATTGAAAAGGATAAACACAAAAAAACTGTGAGAGCTAAGGTGAGAACTAAAAGACTGGAGATGCATCACTTTAGTAAGAACAGAAGTGTCAGAATTCAGTAGAAGCTGTAAATGAGTGCAGTGTTTGTCAAAGGTGCACAAGCTGAAAACACTGCAGAGACAAACTGTGTTTCAGAGCGAGGTGTTTGAATCAATTTCCCTTTTTCCCTCCATCACCTGATGAGTTCTGTGTGTGTGTGTGTGTGTGTGTGTGTGTGTGTGTGTGTACATGAACTCTCTTCTGCAAGCAAGGCTTCCCTCTGCTTTTCTGCTCCAAAAGCTGTGAAATCTGACAATAGTTCTTATCAGTGGCACTGGTCAAATAGTAATGTTTTCCCTATCTACAGCCACAGTTGCACAAAACCTGTCCCCAAAATGCTGATATCCCTTACAATATAAGTGTCTGCTCTTATCCTCCTCTCACAGCTCCAAGATGTGTTCTCCCCTGACTTAAAAAATTTGGGCTACCAACAATTGTATCCATATGAATATGTTTTCATTACTGTGTCAAATGGTTTTTTAAACTCATTTACATTTCTGTTATCAGTATGATGTGGCAATGAGTTCCAGAGTTTATTTCTGCTCTGAAATTAACTTTGAGTTGCAAGGTTTCTTTTTACTTCCCTAACTCTTAATTTCATTACTTTTCTCCCATCATTCAGATTTTTACTCTTTTTCTTGAGTCACCTTCTTTAGGTAGCAAAGTTTCTGGTCTTTAATCTTTCCCCTTCCAGGAGTCCAGTTATAACTCAGGATGCACAGACTTTGGAAATTCCTGCTCCTTTGCAAGATACAACCCAAAAATACTGAAGGCAATCCCTATCCCATACATGCTTCAGACAGCAGTATTTGGCCACAAATACTCAATCAGCCCATAAAATAGCACAGAAGTTCTTACAAAAAAACACCCCAAAACCCCAACCAACCAACCAACCAAAAAAACCTACCAAAAATCCCCCGAAAACCGCAATAAGAAAACCACAAAACAAACAAACAAACAAACAACAACTCCCATCCTCCTCCATCTCTGGGGGTGTCCACCAAAATTATTGTAACCACTGAGATAAAACAGAAAAAGGAAAAGCTCTTAGAGCAAGTAAGAAAAAAGTCTTTTAAATCTAGTTGTAAAAAACCAAAATAATTCTTGTTCATAATGCACATTATTGTTTGGTTGCTTTTTTTTTTTTTTTTTTTTTTTTTTAAGGAAAGAACACCTCAACATCATCTAGAACATTCAGAGTAAAGAAGGAAACATTTGTTTAAAGTACAGAAAAATTTGGAAGCAACTATGAAACCAACAGCTGTCATAACCTCTGAAAATGTGGTGAGAGATATAGTGCCATAATACAATCTGACAAAACTGTGCTTTTCCAGGCTGAAAGTCAAGCTGTTACATGATTACAAATGACTCTAGTGAAGAGGAGTACTCATTGCTGGAGCAATCAGTGCAGGACATGGCACTACACCTTTGGAGTACATTATTATAAGTCACCCATGCTGGTAGATACAGAACATAAACCTTTTACTGCAATCTTTAAAAACAACTTGGAGTGGCAGTATTTACAGCCATCAGAAACCCAAGCCAAATCTCCAGATACATATTTATTGCTTTGGCATAAACTGCATGGGTATATTTATCTCTAAAATGCTTAATTGCTGCATGCACCTTTCCACCAGAAGAAAAATATGTATACATAGAATGAAAATGTGATGAATGATTTCACTGTCCAAACACAGACAAAAAGGAAAATTTATCCCCACAAGCTGCAAATGACATTTCTGTAAGAGGGTCACACAGCACTGTATTCACCAGGAAGCCCAAACCAGGCTGGATGAAGTTTTAGTTTTAAATATTTTGCAGAGTATTTCAAGGAAATTGTGAGAGAGGGTGGTAGAGAGAGACATATCAGTATTCATAGTTGCTGATTTATAAAGAAGATTTCATAAGCTTCAGAACCTACAGAATTACAACCTACCTATATAATTTTGCTCCCA